GCAAATTTCCTGGCACACTGTTCTTGAGGTGGGACGATAACTGTCTAAACCAGCCCTCGGGCTCCTAGGGGAAGTGGTTTCCCTGCACATGTTGTTGTTCAGCTGTGCTTCTGCAGGCTTTTGGTGTGTATAGTCTTTGTGTTTGGCCAGCAGCGGCTGTGGTCATAGCCAGGCAAATCACCAAATCTTTCTTTGATGCTTTTCCTTCCTGAAAGATTGTGTGGCTTTCTAGCTGAGCGCTTCATGGTCAGCATGGTTGCCTCTAGGAAAACCAGTGCATCTTCTCTTGCCACTGGAAAAGCTAAAGGAGAAGAAATCTTGACAATATAGACTAAACACTATTAACACTGTTGTAGAAGACGTAGGAAGGAAAGGAAATAGGTTCGGTTCAGTCACTGAGGTTGGACCAGATGTCCTTCAAGAGAGGAAGAAAAGTGGTGGGGACTGAGAAAGGGAAGTCTCAGGGCAGGGAAGGTTTTTCTGGGAATATATTGTAAGTGCTAGAAAGGAAGTGGAGCACCACTACGAGCAGCTGGCTGAGCACAGGTGATGTGCATGTAGCCTTCTAGGAAGCCCATAGATCTTGTGCTCTCCCTATACCAAAAGAATCTGCTTTAGTGTTTGTTCTCCCTGTTCCACAGGGGAAAGAAACCAAGAGCTAGGAACACACAGGGAGGCTTAGGGCCCTGTATGAGAATTGCTGCTTGACTTGTTTTAGTCTGGGCTTCATGGCTGCTGTTCAGGCTATCGCATGTAGGCAGATCAATCTTCACATGCTCAGCTGCTAGTTTTCCATGTGGGCTGGTTTTCAATGGAAGACAAGCTTGGGGGCCAGGGGGCCAAGCAAAACTTCTGCTCTGTCAGATTTAAGAAAAACACCAACAAAACAACTTCCATAAATGTTGTCGACATAAGAGAGTCAGTAATTTGGCTTTCGGTAAAGGTAAGGTAAAACTTGCTGTTTGTCTACACTTGGCTCACCTGGGGTGAGAACATGTGGGTACTGAGGAGCTGCAACGTGCACTGCCTGTTGCCCAGGCAGCAGCTAAGGCTGAGTTTGGATCTATATGAAAGAGCTTTGTAGGGTGGGTGGAAGCAGCTGGGAGAAGTGGAGAACAAAATCGGTGAAAAGCAAAGCTTCATTGTCCCAGGAGCACTAGTAGAACTAACGGGCTTTGCATTGCAAAGGTGGTGACCCTTCTTCAGACCCTGTAAAATACACGCCTGGGATTTGTTGTGTTAAATTTCTATGTGCAGAAAAGGGGGGGAGAGGGGGGAGGAGGAGGAGGAGTGAGAGGCAGAGGAGGCAGCATGCAGAAAGTAGAGGCCAGAGGCTCTTATTTGGGTGCAAGTACCAATCTGCTGTCTGCATGAGTCTGCCCAAGTTGCATATGTTCTCCTTTTCTATGTGCACAGAAAATTGTGATAAATAGAGGTTCAGGCAGTGAAGAGCATTTATTTTTATTTGCCTATTTTTGTCATTCACTTGGCATATCTAGCTGAATGGTGGAACCAGGAAGAAAAGGCTATTGTCCTTGTGAATTCAGTCCTCGTGTGCGTGAGGCAGACTGCCTCAAAGACAGTTTGCCTGCTGACCCCTTGCAACCTACCTTCACTTTGGAAATATCATGCCAGTGTAATGGTCTGCTTTTGGCAACCCTGCCAGGAACCCCATGGAGTCTTTTCATCAGAGCTGTGGATAGGTGGTTTTCCATGCCCTCTGACCGGGATAGCTCAGGTCCTGGCCTCTGTCCTTTCTTCTGTTTGCTGTCAGGTATCAGAGGGGAGGTGGAAGGACCTCTTTTTGGCACCTCGCTTCCCAGCAGCCAGGCACAGACCACATAACCCAAAGGCTGTTCTGCCTGGAACTGCAGGGCCTGGATCCATCCTGCCCCAGTGCTGGCGGGAGCTGCCAGGATGGTTGACACAACGTTTTGTCCCATCCCTCTTCTTTCTAGAGCCGAACTACTCTTTCAGCCTTCCCTTTTCATGAGAAAGGATTTTGAAAAGTGCAGACTGTTCACTAGTGTCTTGTTTTTCCTTCCTATTTTCTCTTTCCAACGTGTCAGTGTTAGTAGCCCCACGTTCAACACATGGGCCCATGGGCACTTGTAAAGCATCATCCCCTTCTGTCAAAGCTACTGACTCCTGAAGTGAGGAGGCTAAAGTAAAGCCCCAAAGCATCAGATGAAGATGACACTGTGCCTAGCTCAAAGCAGGGTGAGAGGAGCTGTTTCATGTCTTGTTGGTCCACTGAAAGTTAAAATTGGCAGCAAAGACATCAAAGCAGGTGTGAGATTGTTTCTGCAAGATTTGCCAAGGACTCCTCTGTTTCTGTCTGATGCTGGGAGCCAGGGCAGGAAGAGACTGCAAGCGCAGGCTGTTTAATATTCTCTTCTGTCCCTCTGATCTGCCCCCTACCCTGCAGAAGCAACATGTCCCATGTTTCTGCAGAGCTTGTCCTGAGCAATAGCAGCATCTGTCAGGGGTTATGGTGGCATTAGCCTCATGGAGCTGGGAGTTAGCAGCGCTTGGCAGAGTGACAGTTCTGCTGTACCTTACATAAATCTGTATCTTGCATAAATCTGTCTCTGCCTACTCTGCCAAGGTGTGTGGTCACAATTTGTCTGATTCCTCCTGCTGTCCACAAGGCCTTTCAGTTTCCTAGAAGATTTTATTTGCTTCTTGAGGCCCCTCTGCCTCCTCTTTCTTCACACCTCCCCTCTCCATACCCTTCCCCTCCTTGTTTCCTCACAAGTCCTAGAGGGAACATATCTTCTTAAGCAGGTGTTATTTTAAAATAAATTCCTATCACCTGCCCCTCTCAGGTGCTGCAGAAAGCTCCCCGTATTCCCACAGAAAGAGGGAAGGTCTTGAGCTTTCCTGTGGCTTTGGCAGCAAACTGCAGCAGTCCTTCACCCACTGTCTTCTGCCAGGGCTGCACCTGATCCCAGGTCATGGTTCCTTGCTCATCAGTACTTTGTGGAGCTTGGTGTGCCTTGGTTGCCTCTCGTCAGCTTTCTTGGACACTTCTAGACCCTTCTGAGGCCAGAAAGTAGCAGCAACTGCCCCAGTACTTGGCCGCCTTCCGGCATCTAAGGAAATTCGTGGGGAAAACAAGAAAACCTTTATTAAACAGAACATTATATCCCCAACCATACTTGCGCCATGTGTTCTCATACCAAAAAAAAAGCGTTGACCTCTTGAAAGCATCTCTGGTCATCACAAGGCTTGTCCTGAGCTGTCCTCTCCTCCCCGGCACTGCTCAGGGACCCGATGGGAGCCATGCTGCAATGGTGGCTGTGGTGTGGGGAGGGATCCACTGCCAATTCTCTCCTGTGTCACTTTGTCACCCCCACAGCCCCCCCCGGTTGCTTTATTCTTCTGAGGTTGTAACAAAGAGCTGCTCTGAGCACTGTGGCAGAGACCAGCATAATGTTCCTGTTGGTCTGCAGGACCAATCTCTTAATATGTATTACCCACTAAAATACAGGGGCTCCACAGGAGTGGGTGGCCCGTGGAGTAAGCTCATCGCGCCTCTCGGTGAGAGTCTCCACTGAGATGTATGTCCTTGGGTGCTGAGAAGGAGGTACTTGAGAGTAAGGGTACTTATTACTGGTTTTATTTACTATTGTTTGGTGTCTGGAGCTGGTAAGCAGTGAAGGTAGTACACTCCTCTACCACACATTATCAAGGTGTGGGGGGGAAATCCCATGTTGTGTTATAGCATGCACCCTGAGCTCTTAAAATGGAAGTTTCTCTTTTGTCTCCAAGCCTTCTTTCTTTTGTAGGCAGAAGTGACAGCCGTAACGCTAAGTGAATGGTATGTATTAAATCTATGCAAGGGCTCTTTAAAAAAATAATTACATATGGTACAAGAGGGAGAGGAAACCACTCCATTCCTGTAAATGGCCACTTAAGATGTGGACAATAAATAAATAACTGTAATAAATAATCTGGTGTATCTGAGCTTTAGCATTTAGGAGGAATAAATCAGAGCTCTCTTGCTATTGTCTGCTGAGATGCATCGGAAATGGAGTTGGAAGGAAAGATTTCACTCAGAGTTGTGGCAAGGTGTTGGAAAGCCCATGGGAGTGTGTAGGAGTCTCCTGCTCTCCCGTGTGTTTTGTTACACTTTCCCTGCACCACTCCTCCCCGTTCACAAGCATGTGCTGCTCTCCTGTGAAATGGAAGAGGCTCCCTTAAGTCTCACTTGCCTCTTGCAAGTAAGTGCAAGTACAACGCCTGGGGAATAAAGCCTCTGCCGGCAGAATTAACGCATCTCCCAGATTGCTCATTGGGTATTTAATCCTTCGTCTCTCCAACGGCTTTGCCTTTCCACCGGCGCTCTTCCACCCTCCTCTGCCCATTCATACCTGCTCCTCGCAGACGAAACCAGCTGCTCTTCTGCTCTGTGCAAAGTCCGAGTGCCGGTATTTAAATGCAGCTCTAGTTGCTAAGCCCCAGCAACTAGCAGAGTGCCTGGCTGGGGCTTGCAACCGAGAGCTGTGTCGCTTTAAGGCATGTGATACTTGCCCGAGCAGGGATGTATTGAAATAGGCTACGGTACTTACAGCATCGTATAGCAGTGTACGTACAGCTGCCTTACTCTGCACTGCCTGCGCTGGAGTGAGGCTGCTCTGTCGTTAAACATAAACTGCTCCTCGTCCTTAAGTATCCTGGAAGCTGCAAATTATCTCAAGATCACTTCAAAGGTCTCATCAAGCAGAAGGTGATGCTAGGAGATGATTTAAAGGTGAAAATGAGAAGGTTTCCACCCCTCAAACCTTGGCCACTTTTCTGACGGCAGAGTCTGAGAGCTCAGATGTCTTCTTTACTCTGGGAACAGGATTTGTAACGAAAGAGATTTTTTTTTTCCTTTTAATCCTGATAAAGAAGATTATTGGGAAGCCATTAAAAATCCCTTATTGTGATACAGATGGATTTAAAAAAGTGTTAGATCTTTCCAATGAACACTAATAGAGTGCTCTGCTCTTGGTTGGATTACTCAGGTAAGGAGCTTCTTTAGGATTTAAGATTCAGAAACCAGATCTGGAACTCATCAGATAATAACTGGAGAAATACTCACTGCTGTGTTTCTTTACTAATGATAAGATGATCTCTATGTAAAAGTGTGTGTGTGACAGCAGTTTGCTGACAAACAAGTGCATGAAGAAATGTTTGTAAGAGATGCTGGGTTTTGAGCAAAGGTACCTTGAAATAGTGTAGTCTGAGACAGGCTTTCATAAAAAAAAAAAGGCAGGGAGCTAATAATAAAGCCTGAGTGGGTTAAGTAAGTCTGCTGTCCATGTGGCTCAGAATATGGTGCTGGAGGAAAGACACAGGAGCATTTAGCAGGCTGTAGAAGTTTAGCTTTGCTTCGCTGTTTGGCTAGGATTTTTAAAGTTCAGGCTAAATAACCTGAATACCTGAAATATTCCTATGTGAGAGTCACCTTTCCCTCTTACCTTGTTGTATAAAAAGCATGGGAGCACCAAATATGACAAGGAGGCATTAATTCCTGAAGACACAGGAAGCCTACTGGGAGCTCCCTGATCTGAGGGGATTGAATCTATTTTGCAAGATAAATAGGTCTAAAGAGAGGAGAAAAAGTACACTGTATGCTGCAGAGTAAACAGTCGGAAATGAAATTAATTATATGCTAAGCAGTGCATCAAACACTCTACAGAGAAAGGAAGAGCCTCATGCTGATCAAAATAATGTTTTGGTATTTTCTATTAATTATACTTGTCAGTTTATGTGGTTCTTTTCAACCAATTAGGCTTAAAAAGCTTCCCAAAGACTGTGTGCTGCTTTAAAATCAGGGGAAAAAAAATTTTTATATGCTTATATTTTATTACCACTGTATTTCACTATTTTAATGTTGGTAATTTTCTTACTACAGAAATCCCCCTGATACAGACAGACTTTTTATTTTTTAATTTTTGTGTAAAGACATGATTATTCTATGTGAGAGTTTTAATTTTTCAAAGTCTTTCTTGCTCTGTGAAAATGATGTTCAGCTGATTGGATTATTAGATAGAAAACGGCATCATGTCATTGGCTGAATAAGGAGAGTGCCTGAAGTTTGATTAATTTGGCAATATGAAATGCAGCAGAAGGTGTTGTTAAGGGATCTGGACGATGTGTAGCGTAGCTGAGCCTTGCAAACCTCCCGATCCTCGCAGGCATTGAGAAAGAGCTGTTGAAGTTAAAAAGTCAGAGGGAAATTTCGCCAGTTAGTACAATAATGAGTACAAGTATGAAAAACCACAGTTGTCTATATTGGATGGCCAAGTACGCCAGCACCGGCAGACAAAGAAATTGCTCTTTCCCTTTACCATAGGAATCTTGTTAGTATTTTGATACAATCTGCTTTGTGAAAAGATCAAATCTTCTGTAAAATACGTCTGCAATTCAGTCTGGCCATACTTCAGTCCCTTTACGTGGACAGGTCAAACAAAAGGAAGCTGATTTCATCTGGGGATTAGAACATAATTCTGAGAAACAATTACTTTGTTTAGCAGAGAGCATCGTGATTAAAAATTGATGCTCGCAAAAGTAAAAAACAATAAACTGTTACCTTCCGGGTCACTATTAGCCTTTCAGTCTTGGGGATAGAGTATTGTTGAAATGCATCTCAGATGTCTGAGGATGCTGTATGCTTATCTGTGATGTGTTTAAAGTAGTTTTGATACTGTCTGGACATCATGTTTTTCTAGCTGGTTGTGTGATTTTTTTCTTATTTTTTTAACACCCTTGTAAATTCAGCTATGGACCAGTGTGGCAATATTTTCCAGCCTTCTATTTACATTGGTGGTTTTTTTTAGTCCTCAGATTATTAGAGTTTCATTTTTACCACTGAATTATTAAAGTTATCCAGGCTCCTGTGTTGACATCCTGTTACCTCGGCTGTCCTTTTTGAACATGACCTTTGTTGTATGACCATTGTATCCTGCAGGGGGGAATAATAACCAAGAAACAAAAGACATTTAGCAAAAGGAGTAAAAAAGGGAAAAAAAAATTAAAAAAATAATGTTGTAATGGAAGCTGACTGTTCTGTGTGCTGTAAGGCAATGGATAATAATGCCTGTCTAATATTTTGTTTAGAGAATGGCAGTGGTCTCTGCAATGTCCTGGGTCCTGTATTTGTGGATAAGTGCCTGTGCAATGCTGCTCTGTCAGGGGTCCCTCCATCACACTTTCCAGCAGCATCACCTGCACAGACCAGGTAGGACCGAGTTCAGCTGTGGGATGCTGTAAGATTGCAGGCGCTCTGCCCGTGCTCGTGTCTGTCTTGATAAATGAATGAATAATCATAAAATCCTTTTTATCATTTAACTTTTATGAGTTGCTTGCCTTTATATTGCACAGCATCTTTTTTTGGTCGGTCTAACACGTGTTGTGCTTTGCTAATCTGGTGTTGGAATATTCATCCTCTAACGTCATCTTCTAACAACGTCCCAACACAGGAATTCCATTTCAGACAACCTCTCGGTTTCTCTGTCTCTTTCTCTCTCCTTATTTCTATCTCTTCTTCTCCCCATTTTGTGCAGTTCTTGAGTGGGTGCATAACTCGGAAGGACACTGTCACAGCATGGGTTTGGATAACTTTGCAGTTATCTGACCCAAACTGGACACGGGTTTGTTACTTAAAATATTGGCACCAAATCTCACTCATAGTCACTAGAGTTTACTGGAGGTCAGGTGTTTCCCTTAGCATAAATGAGAGACACAGTTATTCTCAGGTTCTCAAGTTTATCTCCAAAAACTGATGGGGTTGCAAAAGTGCAGCCCAGAGGAGAACTTGGGACTGTCTTTCAATGGGGTAAAATGCCTATAAACTCAGAATAAATCCCACAGGTTAGCAGTGGAGAATGCAGCTCACTTAGACTGTTGTGATCTACAGAGACTGCACATTGGTAGTTTTATTGTGTTTTTATTAATGAAAGGGATCACGTAACTTTTTCAACTGTTAATTGCACTTTGAAGAATATGTGTCATGTTAAAAATTGAAGAGTTGGCATATTCTAGCATGGTATTATCATCTGGTTACAATTAGATGGGCCAAGAATGTTGCTTAACAAATTTGGATCCAAAGAAAGGTGGGAGAGGTTTTAAGAGCTTTAGAACTGAAAGATGGAAAATGTTAACTCGCAGTGATGAATCATTTAACAATGTGGCAGCTAGTACTTCAATGTTTTTGATCTAATGGCATACCTTCAAAGATGGACAGTCTTAAAGTGCAGGTCTTTAGCAACCTTAATGACTCCAAGTTTTCCCAACTACTTTTGTTGTCCAAAAGTCATAGGTATTGGCATTGTCTTGCTTTCTTGTAATAAAATATGCGTAGTATAGAGGAATAGACCTAAATCTTTGATAGACCAGCTCTTGGTAGCTATGTTAGAGCATCAGATTAACTAATGGTGTTAACTTTGCTAGGTGGCACTGGAAGTTTGAGAGTATTTGAAGTTTGAGTGGTGAGGTTCTTACTTGGGACTTGCAGAGAAATGAACAAAATATTTATTACAATGCAATTGTAAGTAATGCTGCAGGTTATTTGAGTCTGTCCCCCGGTGAAGGAAATAAGAAAAAACAGCCCAGCTAAACAGATAGGTAAAAGGAAAATGTAATCTCATTTTGTAAAATCAGTTGAAACAAGTGACATTATAAGAAAAAATGAGAGCTGGGCAGATTCAGAGCTCTGCAACATTTGCCTAAGCTTGAAAAATCACCTTTTTTATGAAGCAAGAACAGCAAGACACTGAATGCATACCAAGTGTTGGGGAAATGTGAAAAATGACAAAATCTTTCACTCAGAGATGTGATACAGATAGAGTGAAGGTTTTACAGCTGCCTCATCACCTACTTAGAAACAGCCAAGCTTTCCCTCCTGTGAGCCTTTCTCAGGCAGCTTCTCCGCACCCTACGTGAATAAGATTGATGGTGTTCTGATCCCAGGCAGCCAATTTCAGTCTCTCAAGAAATAATCCAGTACATTGACAGATGAGTGGAATTTGACATGATGTTCACCTCGGATTCAGATTGTGCTGCACCTGGGAAGTACCAGCTAGTGAACGTCCTTTAGGGAAACTGTTGGGGATTTTGGACAATTTCTGCTGTCACAACAGAAAATCAAGACTGTTTTTTATAAGGCCATGAATTTGCAGTCTGCCAACTGAATGTGAAAGGTTGTACATAAAAGGGATGGAAATATGTTAACTAGCAAACTGAGTGATTTTAATGTATTCAACTGCAGTCCCTGAGCACACCCTATTTTTCATATTTATAATATTAGGAATGCGTCATTTACTTTTAGTTAGTCACTGTGTAAGTAAGATTAAAATGTTCAGCCAAATAAAAGTGAATAAAAAAAATGGATGCAGATGAGGCAGTGCATAATTTCAGTAATTTAATATTTGGTATATGAAATTTCAACTTATTGAATCATGGCAAATATAGCTGTAATCAATAGCATGCTCAGCATACCTTTTCCTTCAGTTCGTGATCTCCCATAGATAATGAGATGCTCTAAAATAAAGAGACTTTTTGCTGCTCAACTCCATTGTGGGGCTACTTTGGTACAAGATAATTAAAAAGGCAGGTTCCACCCCTCCTTGTGCTTCTCATACTTCATGAATAGATTCTCACTGAGCACAGGAAGGTGGAGGTAAAAGATAAAATCCTCAGGGAGTGTATTTAAAATAATAAACTTGAACTGAAGTCAGTGGATTAGCACAGTGAATATCCCCACCTGTATTACTGCGGTTAATCCAGTTTTGAAACATTGGAAACCAAGGGCAATATATGAAACTTTCTTAAGCAACTGAATGGGTTGAAATAGATTTCTACACACTATGTGCAATCACAAAAGTTTAAACCTTTCTTTCAGTGTAGTATAATTTTTCAGCTTTATAATTCAGTACTTCTTTATTCAGTTAGATGACTTAGCAGAAGGTACGAACCTGAAAACAAATGTGATAAACCTCTTTATGTGACAGTATTTGGAATTGACTGTAGCTTTATTTTCTCTGAAATGTTGGCAGGCAGGCGGGCACAGATAGTAAGGGCAAAGTAAATACTGCTTGAATATAAGATGGATAATGCCGTATTACTTGTACCTGTTCATGAATTCTTTATTGTCTCATTAACACAATGAAAAGTTTGCATGCTGCTGTTAAGCACCCTTAAGTGTTGGTGGCTGTTCCTTTTGACTCTGACAGGTGAGGTGGGCAGGGTAGATTTTCAGGCTGCTTTGCTGGGATCTGGCGGAGACCTTTGGAGTAAGCTAGCTGAACACCATTGCAGTATAATTCCCCTTGGGTAATACACATGGTTTTCTGCAGTTTTTCTATGACTATATTTCATTTTCATGAAAATTATGTTAGGCAAAGGATGTATGAAAGCATTCACAGGAAATAACTTTATGTGGAAACAAATCTCCGTTTTTAAATTTTTTTTTCAAGCATGCCATTTCTGTGTGATTTAATAAGAAACAGTGGTAATGAGAAGAATTCCACATTGGCTGTTTTAGGCTCTAAGATACACACAGTTGTAGAGCTGTTGAATTGGCCTGAGGATGAGAATGGACAGGTTGTGATTTGCAGTTAGCTGAGTGCCTGTGATAGTCCATTGATCATCTGATTGACAGGATTGACCCTGCCCAGAGGTAGGAAGTAGATGCTGGCATTTGGTAAGACAAGATGATATTAATGAAGTAAAGGATTCAAGTTCAAAAAATAAAAAAAATAATCACCACCCTTTCAATCACACAATTCTTAGCAAATTTGGCTTTGTTCCATAAACGAGGGATGTTTTGTGCCCAGTGAGGACCATTAGCTAGTTCTGAATCACATTGGACAACACTGGCCACGTGTTGCTTAAAAATACAGGAAAGCACATTGGATTCACCTGTAAGTTTGTGCAAAATAATTAGGTACACACTAAGGATGCAAGGTTAGGTTTGGATACAGTGTAAAGGTGCAAGGCAGACACAAGCAGAAACATGTACCTGCTGTAGCAATGCTGACATTTGCAAATACATTAATTAAAAATAAGCCTATTCAGAGGAAGAAATCATGGACTAAATTGAGGCTGGAATGGTATGTCTACTAAACATGAAGTACCTTTTATTGTGACAGTAGTTAATGATGTGCCCATTAAAAATCATCTGAAGAAGTGATTCTCTATACCTCATATTACGAGGAGGAAAATCAGTCTCAAAGCAATTCTATACAAACTAACAAGCAACATCAACCTAAGGATGCTCTCAGCATGTTTCTCAGTAGACAGCATTTTGCAGAAACTTGAGTCTGTGTCTGTGAGCAAAAAATTTCTTAGTTCTGATCTTGGCCTTCCCACTGATTTTTTTTTTTTATAGCCTTGGGGGAAACTGCATATTTTCACATTTCAAAAGGTCTGCTATTTTCATATGCCCCATATATGTGGCTATTCAGTTACAAAACAGACTGGGAAGAAGGTTGGTCTGAATCTTAACTCCTCAGGAAAGTGTAAATAAAATATGTCTTTACTTTGTAGAACAATTGAGATTTGGAAGATGAATTCAAGTGGATTTTTGCTCTTGGTATTGATAGAAGCAAGTGTAGGACTAGGTAGTTAACGTATAAATGTATACAGTTTCTATGATTAGCAAGAATTGTATTTCATTAATCATACAGTGTGAATGCAAACAGTTGCCTTCAGTATACAACGTCCAAACTGCCATGCAACAACTTAGCTAGTATCCAGCAGATCACGTCATGGGCATGAAAGCTGACAACTGGTGTCTCTTGCTGTGTTAATTAAAATGAACAAATTTATAAGCTCTAAGGCCTGATTCAGATACCATTTACACCAATAAATGCACAGGAAGCACCATATGTATCCTTGTTGTTCACAATCAGAAAAACCTGCTCATGACGAGCTATTCTAGTCACTCACTGGAAATCCTCTTTCTCGCAATACCTTTCTGTTATATATCCCTGGCCTTCGCAGTCTGTTCCTGAAAATGTGAAACTACCAACTGCTAAGCAAAAAAATCCAGGTTGGAGGTACCTACTGTGTTCCTGGACACATACAAAATATATTTGGATGTATGTGGACAAACATATATTAATATGTATTTTGTGTAGACAGAGAACTGATGTAATGAAATCAACAGTTAAGGATGAGGTAAGATTACCAGCAGCATGATAGTGATGAATTGTCTACTGTGCTTGTGTGATGCACTTA